TTTCATTTTGTCTCTTTTGGTTCAATTTTTAATGTCCATCCTCTTAATGACCAAGCATTTACCAGGTTCACTACTCTTCTGTAGAAGACAGTATATCATGGCTCCATTGCTCCAAAGTCAACCTACTATTTTTTCTATTTTCTATTTATTTACTTAAAGAAATTAACAGATCTTTGTTGTCCAGACTGGCCATCTTCTAATATAGTACACGTATCAGAATGAGCCAAAGCTTTCAGGTGCCAGGACAAATGTTGTATATTGGATATAAGTCTACAGTGTGCCTCAAATTGAAGCATATTAGAACTTTTAATATTCAGATTAGATAGAAACTGAGGAGTGCATGATGGTCTCTATGACAAAGCTGAGTTTTAATCCATTTTTCTGTGGATAACTGTCTACACTGGAAATTTTTGTCAGATCATTAACTTGCACCAGGTGTTGACAGTTTGGCTAGTTTGATAGAAAGGCAGAGCAGGAACTATTATATCCCTCCTAGAGGTTTCAGATCAGTGATAACAAGGGAATAGTAATGTATCTATTCAACATTATTAATTCAAGTGTAAAACTACGAGTGCTTATCTTTGGCAGAATAGCTGCCAATTAAATTCATCTTTGCAAAGACTGTGGATCAGAGTCTCTTGTGTTCTTAAAAAAAAAAAAATAATTGAATTTTATCTGAGATATCCATTGCTATAAACAAATCCTCATCTGTATACTGTTGGGAGGCAGGCAGTAGTTTGAAGTCTTTCAATCAGTGGTGTTAAAGCAGCTTGTAAACTGCTTATGGGTGGGGAATGCAGTCTGTGCTGGGGTATTTCACGTACCTTCTCTGTGGTTTCCTCTCAGTTGCAGAGACTAAGAGAAGTATCTGTGTAAATAATATGGATTTTGTTTTATGCAATTCTGACAAAAGAAATAATAATGAACAGAAGGTATTTGAAAATGAATCAAGAGGAGGTGAGGTGTATTTTACTTCTGTCTTCTTTTGACTTTTAAAAGAATAAAAACATTTATTTTTAAAACAAACTAAGAATCTTGGGAAAAATCTCAGGCTTTTTGAGTGACAAATGGAGCTAGTAGCCACATAGTATCTATCAGTATTTTTCATCTGTATTTTCTAGAGAATAATCTCAGTGTACATGTATGTGAAACAAACATACTAACACTACAGTAGCTTCATTAAAGCCTTTATAGCCTATAGAAATTTTATATTTGAATTTATTCTAGGAATGGAATATCATAATGAGACAAAACTTAGGGTTTCACCCACTGTAAAATTCATAATGTTTTTTTGGTGTGAACTGGAAATAAGGAACAAGCACCAGAGATTAAATTTTGAAAAACTGAAAAATGTTCTACACTTCTGAATACAATTAACAATTTATTGTTATTTACAATGCATACCACATGTTTTGCACAGGACTAGAACTTTTCTCAGAAGAAATAATTAAACATTCCACATGAAATCTTTTTCCTCTAAGTATTTTCTTATTACTAAAAACTTTCCTTCTGACTCCATTTTCTCATCTGTTCCTGGTAAAGCAATACATTCATGTATAAAGTTTCCTATGCCCTGCCTTAATGGCTTTACTACTAATACACAAGAGTACTGTCATATACTTGTATGTGTGAAGTGGAGATAGGATCTAGTGGCATATTTATTAACTGGGTTTCAGTAGTCCTGTTAGAAAGAAGGATTTTTATGCGTTTTGGTAGAAAGAGGCATTAATATTCATAAATTAGTTTGCTGATCAGTAGTTATATTTTGGTGGAAGGTGCAACCTGATATCTGATCGGGTCTTAATTAAATCTTGGGAGCACTATATGTCTCATGAATTCATTCCATGAACTGAAATAAATTACATATAAATGCAGTACAATACATACACAATAGGCAAAACAATTGTACTAGAACTGATGGAATAGATCTTAAGTTAGATGCATGTGTGTTTTGTTTGTGATCCATCAGCTGACAGGAATGATGGGCAAACCTTTAGCTTATTTATACCTGGTTCCTGGAGGAAGGCAAGAAATAAAGCTAGAGCTATTTCAGGCAAAAAGAGTTTTCTTATACATAACAAATGTTGAAGCTAGGACCACAGAAGGCAGGGACATTCCATCCAGGCTACTCCAGAACCAGCAGTCTTGAAATAAAGTTTTTTTGAAAACTGGCTGTGTGACGATAATGCCCCAAAAGTTAAGTTTTTGGGGTCTGGGCAGATTGCTCCTAAGCCAGGTGAAGGCCTGCAATGTTTGTCTGTCAGGTTGCCATGGTAGGAACTCCAAGTTTTGTCCTGAGAGGGAAGCAGCCCCAGCAGGCTCAGCACTGTGGCACAGCATCTAGCAGCTGGAACACCTACTCAGAGCCCTGGCTCCACCGCTGCACAGCTTCTCACTTCAGAGCATGGGTGAAGACTTGAAAACATGGAAATAGTTATACAGTACCTCTGACTGCAGGGTTGACATCCCAGCAGGTCCGTCTAGAATCCATCAGTTTTGAGAATTGCAAACCTTAGAGATAATGACTCAGTCAGTGCAGCTGCAGGGTCTTGAAAACTTATTTTCTATGGAAACACTGTTTTTGAGAATGTCTTGCTGTCAACTCAAAATCTGTCCAAACCACTCTAGAACAGGCATATTTCCTGGGAACTGGAAACTACTTTTTGACTAGTTCCCCTTATAGCTATAACCATGATTTTTTTTCCTGCTGTCCTCCTCCACTTTTCCAGCTCAGCATGTAATTTTTTTTCCAAAACTGAACTCTCTTTAGAACAGAGCCCCTTTGACTGAGTATAGGGAGGAATAGTTCCAGGACACATAAAACCAGTAAGAGAGGAAAATACCTTTAAGAGACTCAACATGCAAAGAATAAAACCTTATATCTCTTTATGGGGAACAGCATTTTTTTTTTTCTTCTGGAGTAGGGGGTCAGAAGATGAGGGAAAAGCCATTCACCTATTCTGTTATAGACCTGCCTTCCACATGGCACCTCTGGTTTAGGCAGCTTAAGGTTTTGCACACAGTCCTATGTTAGAAGATCTGTAACTTTAACAGACACAGAGTATGTTTAAAGCCTGTGACAAACAGAAATCACCACTTGAGCAGAAGGGGCTTAGTACAATGCCTGCTGATAGAATTCTTCCCCCTTACAGTAAAGAGCTTTAGGTCAGTCCTTAGGTAAGCACAACCACCAGCTTTAATATTTTTAAGAATGTACCAGGTCAGTTATGAAGAAAAAAGGGGAATATGACTTGATACATGGAATGCTTTCCAATTTGCTGAGTTACTTGCCAGCTTCTGAAATATCTCACTCTTAATTGAACAAGAAGTATGCCTGAACAAAGGAAGCTGTAAGCATTGAGAAAAAGAGTAAAGTCAAGACTTAAACACAGACAAGCTGCTTTGGAGTTACAAATGCATTTTCCCTATTAAAATAATGTAGCTGTCAACATTTCGTGCTTTTTTTGCATAAGCACTACCAAATGGGGAGATGCAGAGATGCCCCATGTACCTTCAGATAAACTGGTCACATTTGGAAATAATCAAAGTAGAGAGAAGGTGGGGTTTCTGTTGGCATTTACTGATACAGTCTGGTTTGTATTAGGATGGAATTTCTGAGATTGGGAATGTATTAGCCTAACTAACAGTGGTTGCTATAGGAAATATATGATCTGTATTATTCTACATGTACAAAAAAGGCATGCATACTGACAATTTCCTGGGATTTGAGTGTGCCGGGGGAAGGTAATGGACTCTAGGAGTCCTATATTTGTAATTTCATAGCTTGTATTTGTCGTCTTTACTCTTGTCATTGTAATAATTATGTATACTCCTCAGGAATCTGTGTGGGCTGTAATCTGCCACCAGTATACCATTTTGTATTTTCCATATTCAGTTCCATCTAGGAGAAGACAATGACTTGGAACAGCCAGAATAGATTTGACAAGAGAAAACTGCCTGAAAAGTCTGGTAGCCTACCTACTAGGATGAAACAACTGGTTCCATGTAGGGGAGAGAAGTGGATGTATTTTATCTTAATTCTATCAAGGATATAAGGGGGGGAAAAATCTGCAAAGAGACCGAATTAAAATTACTGGATATTTGAAGTCTATGGTTTGTAGAAAATACTATGGGAAATATCTGTAATATAAATCTGTATTCCCTGTTAATGTCTGCAGTACAAATTAATAGTGTAGTTTTCCTCAGCCTTTACCTGGATGTCAGGTGGCAGAAGAGGATTACCTGGGGGGGAAGCAATACCATGCAGCTTCCATTTCTGTCCATGCCATGATTCCCCATAATTGTATAGGTGGCAGTTGCAACTTTCTTATAGATCAAACACCAATTACCATCCTGTTTCCCAAAGATTAGAAGATTTTTGGCTCCAGCATCAGGTACATCAAAGCCCCACTTTAAGTTCTCAAGAGCTTGTACTGCACGCCAAGTGCATTCGCAAAGTGCTGTAATGTATTTGATAATATTGTCTCTTGAAGGAATCTGTGTCACTGAGCCAGTATATCGTAACCGCATACACTGAAATGCTCTATATTTTCCTAGTTCTGTTTACAGATAACAAGAGAAAAAAAGAAGAAAAAGCCAGACATAAAAGTATGAAGAAACAGAAGAGCCTAGACTCCTGATGCAACTGATACTGTACAGAAAAAGAGTTAGTATAGACAGAGCATTTGATGCTGAGAATATACAGCATTTGAATTCTGATCATCTGTGCAGCTCTCAAAGTAGCGAGTGTATTTATGAGGTTTAGATTGGATTTACTGTCACAGGCATTGTTTCATGGACACATTCCATTCCTTCCCTACCACTGTGCTAAATAGCTTGTTTTAAGAAGCCTTGAAATGGGGCTCAAAGCATATTTAAGGCCATTTTTTCCCATGCTCCTTGCACCCAAAGGCAACTGAAGCTGGGGCAAAAAGGTATAGGGTATGTGAAGTGGAGGTGGTGATGCTGAGCTTCCACTAACATCTGGTCATTAATTTCAGCTTTGGGGACTTCCAAAATGTTGGCAAACACAGCTCCAGCTGGCATGGGGACTGTTGCTTCTCCATGAGCAGGTAAATAGGCCAGATGGTTTCCTATTTTACTACTGTTTCTAGTACGGATGGTGAGTCTTGGTCCCTACAGAGTAATACACCTTCGAAAAGCTGAGCATTTTTATTCACCTTTTGGCCACATAGAAACAATGTAATTATTAGAACAGCAGTAAAATGATTAGAGCAGTGGATAAGAGGAAAGTCTGAATGTGAAGAGGAAAGAAAAAGCAGCAATGATAACCTTGTTTTCCTTTCTCCATTTCAGAATAGCAAAGTCTATGAATCCATTGTGAACAGCTGCACTTACATTTGTGTTTGCTGTAAAACAAAACTAGGGGAAACTGTTTTGTCTTTGCCATTTCTGTTCCTTTCAGCAAACAACAAAAAAGCCAAATAAAACCAACCACACAACCAAATGAGAAAATCCCCAAAATCCCAACAAGCAGTCTCTAGAGCTCTAGTGCTAAGAAATACATTAGAAAGCTGGGAGAATCCAAATTTAAATGTTTCATCTTCTGTACTTATTGGAGAGAATTTTTACCATAGGAACATACAGCATGAAAACTTGTAACAGGGTGGGAGGATGAGATTTGGAGAAACTGGAGCTGGAACTTAAGGCAATATTCAGGCAGTGATTATGCAATTGTTGCATAACATGGAGAGTGCTTGCATGAATAATCCTATTAACATTAGAGTTTCACAATCAGGTAATTGAACACTGCACTGTTCAAAATCATCTGTATTTAATGGTGGAAAAATCAGCAAAATCACTATTAATAAAACAATGATCTCATTAAATATAGTCTTTCTCAGGGGGGGATAAGAGTGGAAGAACATCAGAGGAAAGAATGGAGGAAAACATTTTCTCAGCTTAGATATAGTAGTAAGGCTTTGTTTTAATGGTTTCCTTTGAGAAAGAGAAATGATGGGGAAAAGGTATAGATTACTACCATGGGCTATTGGTAATTTATTTGTTGTGGCTGAGAAGAGCTGTGAACACTGGGATTGACAAAATTGAAAGGAAAGGGAAAAAAATTAGACTAGTCACCCAAATAATTTGCAAGTTTCTGTTTGTATCTAGAAAGTGCCAGAGCCAGCAGAGGTGGAAGGATTCATCCCAAACATCTGACAATGGTTTATACTAATGAAGTATAAACTGGAGCAGCAGGTGCAGCTGCCCCTGCCTCCGCCTCCCAAGTTATAAGGCCCCCATGACTAAGAAAAGGCATCTATTCCCTGGCTCTCACAGCCCCCATCGGGTGGGGAGCCCAGGCTGCTGTGGGGGCTGCTCCTTCACCTGCTGAAGGTGAGGGCTAAGAACTTCCTCTGTGAGCTAGTGGGCAGCAGCAGCAGCATGCATGAGCGAACTGTAGCACTTGCGTCAAGGCTGGAAAAGCTGCTGCACCTCTCTAAGCTGTTTTTGTGCTCCCGGTGTGAGAACACACACATTGAGCCTGTGTCCATGCCAAAGGTGATCCCAGGCAAGGCTTGGGCTGTGAGTGGGTGAGAGTTGTGTTCCCTCTGCAAGATTCACGTGCCACCTCCTGCAACTTTGCCAGCTACAAAGCAGCCACTCGTGTCTAAAGAACCTCTGCACAAACATATAGGCAGCAGCAGCAACTCTGGTGCCAGGTGCTTGGAAAACAAGTCATGAAATATCTGATATATGAAGTCTAAGCTACATGCCAAAGCAGAAATTAACCTCTGTTAGGCTGCCTTCCTCCTCCCCTCCCAGAAGTTTTAAGGCTACAGAAAATCAGTGGGTCTATAAAGATGCATCTCCAGGCACCAGGAACACGGCAGTGACAGCTGAAATTTAACCTGTGTTAATGTTGCCAGAAAGAATTTGACTATTAGGTTCTTATAGCTAAAGAATTTATATAGTCATCTATGCAAAAAGACTGAGAAAACGTGTAGCTGCTTGAGGAAAGTAATCTGCTTTTATCTCATGCCACAATATTTGAAAAAGCAAATCCAGTGCCTTAAACACCAATTGCTGCAGAAAACTGGAGCCTTTCAAAACTAATATCCTTCTAGCTGGATTTATTCATCAGCTTTATAAGTCTTTTGACATGACAAAACTTATGACCATTTTCAGGCCAAATAGAACTGATATTAGGAAGAAAAATAATATTTTTACTGTTGTCCCTAGGTGACAATCCACAATTGGTCTGGAGGATAACTGTGAGGCAGCCTTCCCTATTCCAGTTTCTCTTATCCTGTATAGAGCAGTCATCTACCAGTCTTCCATGGTTGTTGCTTTCTTGGATATATTTAATAGATTTGAAAGTGGTAATAGTCTTGAAGTTTTATTTCTATGGGAAGATACATCTAGAGAATGTATGGAAGTCACAGGGTTTTTTTCTTCTTTGTTAGCCAGCACTCTTTCTTTGCGCTTTTTAGAGTGCAAAAAATTGGAAAGATCTACTAAAAGCATATCCCTTTGCTTTTAAAAAATGTATTTTAGGGTATGGCAGTTTGCATTTTCATTTGGGGGAAGATGGCGAACAATTGGTAAGAACAGGCAAAACAGGCAAATCTCTACTACCAGTGCAGCTGCATTCCTTTAAATCAGTTGAGGATCTGATTCACTGTATGACAAAATGTCTCAAATAATATAACTAGCGAAAGCTGCAACCAAAGCCCATCAGGGATGTGGATTGTTGTAACAATGTAAAAAAAAAAAAAAACAACAAAAAGCAAAGCTGAAATTTTCCAATATATATCCATATGTTCGGCTACATCTACTGTTCCAGTTTTTTTGTATTTATTGATGTGATAAGTGGGGTACTGTGCCAGAATGCGAGGAGGCAGCTATCTGAGCGGGAGAGTTTGCCTCATAATTATGAAAATTACTTTTTCCTCTGCCTCCATTCAAGTAACAGGCATGTAAATGTAGACCTGTGACTGCTGGATGAACAGCAGAGAACTGCTATCAGGACTTACATTGTCCATTTTCTTACTCACTGTTTGCAAGGCTGTATGTTTGGTTCACCTTAGGCAAATTGCTGTCTTTCTCTGTGCTTCAACGTTCTCATTCCCAGACCTGTCTGGTTAGATCTTTAAGGCAGAGCTTGCTCTCATTCTATGCCTGTCATCATGCTTCCTGCAATGAACTAGCCCTCACATAGCGGACGCTTTTTGCCCTCTCCTCTCCAGCAGCACCAATTAGAACAAAAGCAGTAATCACCAGGAATAAATACTTACCAGTATAACCCAAATCCCCTAACTATTAAGAAGTACAAACTTGACAACGGCAAAAATTTCCAATGCAGCCTTTGACTCAGTTTATTAAAGTGGACCTCTGCCTCTTATGGTCAACCTTTTCCAGGCTATGACAATATCCAGGTGCTTCATCTTTTCTTTTGGCTGCTGGTTTAAACGGGAAGGCAGGAGACAAGAGCATGAAATGCTTTATCACTGCCATTGTATGCAGTTTGTGTATTTGCTGTGGAAATGTGTTTCTATGAGGAGTCAGACTGTAATACCTTGTACCTTGTCAGCAAAAACGTGCTTCAGTGCATCCTATTCTTGCTAACAGAGTTCTTTTTTTACATCTAGTTCTGGATAGGAGAGAGTACAGTTCTTTCAGTTCTCAGTAGTATGGTGGATATAAAGAGAAAAGTTCTCATGGTAATATCTGTACATTAAATACAAACCACCAAACAAAACAATGCATTGCATCTTGTTTTTTAGCAAACCCTCACCAAAACCTTTCAAAGATCATATTACAATGATGCCATAAGGGGCAGGTAAACAGATGAATCACTAATGACTGATTTTTATCAATATTAATCATTCCTGCTCTAGCAACCGAAAGAAGCTAGGTAATAAGAGAGACTGCAGAATGGAGGAGAGTAAAAGCAGAACCCCCAGTGCCACAAGACATTAGACAGCTCCTTCCACTGGAGCTCAGGTCATTCTCTCTTCCTCCAGGGTCCAGGTTTGCTTCTTCAAGGGTTAAGATTTCCTGATAATGGATGAAAATCCATGGCTAATGACAGTACACATGAAAAGCTGCCATCCTTAGTGGAACTTTAGTAACAGGGAGACTGAAAAGAAAAATGCTGAAGCTACAGATTTCAAGAGCAAAAGTGTATATCTTGAAATACCATCTTAAAATTTTCCTGTTTGGAGAAAATTTCTGCCCTAGGAATTCTTGTTGTGGTGCCTGAGAGAAATGTAGAAGACTACAATATTGGTCTCAAATTTTCTATTCCTAGAATTTCTCAGTTTAATTACTCTCATATTATTCTTTTTTCAAAATACCTTAATTCTTTAATGCATTTTATGAAGTACAGTTTGTGAACTTCATCTCAGTTTCACATTTATCTTCTTCTAGGATGGTTAATGATTTGACAGCTATCACACAGTTTACGTAAGAATATGAATGGCTAATAGAGCTGCAAAAGATCAAAAGATAGTACAAAGGCAGTAAATGGTGGTGTACATTGCTCAAAGCTGGTTCTAGTATATCCACCAGGCTATTACAAAAAATAAGAGGATCTGAGGCATTGTCCGGAAGTTACAGGATTATTGATAGTAAAGTTTTCAAGCTATAATGCTTTAGAACTGTGTAGCTGTTTTCTATCCATCATATGCTTTCAGGCTGAGCAGAATTGGACCTTCCACATCTAGCTGCCTGAAAACAATTTGAATTTGGTCAGGTATTTGCTAAATTAAACAGTAGCTGTTGTAGTTACTGCTGTCTGCTAGCAACAGTTGTCAGGAAGATTTTCAGGTCAGATTTTTAGTTTCATAGTTTTAGTAGCAACTTAGTCCCAGTAAAATTGCCAGAATAAACTGCACTTAACTGATGTGGAAGTACATTAAAGTCTAATAAAATGAATTCTTAATGGCTAAGTTGTGTAAAATTTGGATTGCTTCTAATTTAAAAGAAAAAAATCAAATACTGTTAATTCTTTGTAGTGTTCCACTCCATTAAAGACATTCAGCTTTCCTTCAAACTGTAGATAATGATGCTTAAACACATTCATAACAATAGTTCTGCTCTTTAAGAGCCTGGAAGATAAACTCAGAAACAAACTTCTGCACATGTATGTCAGATTTTCTGGTTTACTTTAAAGTGGTTTTTTAAACAAATACTTCAGTTCCTGTCTTTGTGCCCCCTAAAGCACTCTTTTGGGCATGTATATGTAGTCTAGAATATAGAAAAACAGGACTTGTTTTCAGTAACGACAAACCAAATCCATGTGCTTTCTACCAAATATCTGGAGACAGCTATCGAAGGAAAAAAGGGTTATGAATGATGCAAATGTGTATATGGATTCAACATCAACTGTCTGTTGGTCTGACTAGGATTTTATCTCCACCCCTATTAACTAGGATTTGAGAAAAAGCTAAACTTTATGTTCTTTTTGGATGTCAAAATTTTCTTGAGGTGTTAGCTGACAAAGGGCAACAAAGACAAATGGTAACAAACACGAAAGCTGGCAAACTAAGGGAAAGTTTCCCAAATACACAATTTGGGAAGCTATGTCACTGCAGTAACTGAGCTTCAGGCTTCAAAGAATAACAGATAAAGCCTCCAGTTGTATCCCTGTGGGATGAAATCCACTGTTGAGAAATTTTGCCATTCCAGACATAATTTCTGGTTCTAAGTCTGAAAATATTTGCAAAGACCAGATATCTTTAGGTGACGATACCTGTCTTGGGGGGGAAGGGGAGAGGGGGAGGGAGTTAAGAACCTTTTGAAAGAAAAATAATTGTCTTGAGACACTTGTATGCTCTTCTGTGTAAATATCTGCCTTGGAAGTACTAGTGGATTTTGGTTTTTCTATCAATAAATTGAGAATAGGATTCAGAAGAGCTACATTGTGACTCAACAACAGGAATTTTGGCTGGATTTGAATTTGGTCTCTCTGAGGGTTGAGCACTCCTTCCCTGGTTTACCTTTGCACAGTATCTAGCATAGGAACAGGAATCACAGAATTGAGGTCAGCAGAGACATTTTGAGATCATTGGTCCTACTCCCCCTGTTCAAGTAGGGTCATAGAATCATAAAGTGGTTTGGGTTGGAAGGACCTTAAAGATCATCCAGTTCCAACCCCACTGCCATGGACAGGGACACCTTCCACTAAACCAGGTTCCTTAAAGCACCATCGAACCTGGCCTTGAATACTGCAAGGGATGGGTCAGCTACAGCTTCCCTGGGCAACCTGTGCCAGAGCCTCACCACCCTCATAGTGAAGAATTTCTTCATAATATCTAATCTGTATCTACCCTCTTTCAGTTTAAAGCCATTTCTCCTTGCACTGTCACTACAGACCCTTATAATAGCCCCTCTCCAGATTTCTTGTAAGGCCCCTTTAGGCACTGGAAGCTGCTCTAAGGTCTCCCCTGAGCCTTTTCTTCTCTAGGCTAAATAAGCACAACTCCCTCAGCTTCTCTTCGCAGAGCAGGTGCTCCAGCCCTCTGACCACCTTCGTGGCCCTCCTCTAGCAGCTCCACACCTTTGTGTTGGGGGACCCAGAGCTGAATGCAGTACTGCAGGCGGGGTCTCACGAGAGCAGAGTAGAGGGGCAGGATCACCTACATCGACCTGCTGGTCACACTCCTTTTGATGCAGCCCAGGATACAGCTGGCTTTCTGGGCTGTGAGTGCACACTCCCAGCTCATGTTAAGCTTCTTGCCAATCAGCACTAAAGCCCTTCTCCTCAGGGCTGCTCTCAATCCATTCTCTGCCCAGCCTGTAGTTTGGTATTGTCCCAACACCATGTGCAGGACCTTGCAGTTGTCCTTGTTGAACTTCATGAGGTGCTTATGGGCCCACCTCTCGAGCCTGTCCAGGTCCCTGTATATGACATCCCTTCCCTGCAGAGTGTCAGTCACACCACACAGCTTGGTGTCACTGGCAAACTTGCCGAGAGCTCATTCAATCCCACTGTCCTTGTCAATGACAAAGATGTTGAAGAGGATAGGTCCCAACACTGTCCCTACACCACTTGTTACTGGTCTCCATTTGGACATCAAACCATTGATCACAGCTCTCTGAGTGTAACCATCTCGCCAATTCCTTATCCACTGGGTGGTCCATCCATCAAATCTGTGCCTTTCCAGTTGAGAGACAAGGATGTCATGTAGGACAGTGTCAAATACCTTGCACAAGTCTAGGCAGATGATGTCAGCTGCTCCTCCGTTATCCACCAACTCTGTGGCTCCATCATAGAAGGCCACAAAATTTTTCAAGCACAATTTCCCCTTAATAAAGCCATACTGGCTGTCGCCAATCAACCCTTTATTGTCCATTTACTTTAGCTTAGTTTCCTGGAGGGTCTGTTCCATGACCCTGACAGGCACCAAGGTGAGCTTGACCAGCCTGTAGTTCCCCGTGTCTTCCT